GTGTCATCACGTTCTATACACTTTTGCCTGGAGTTCTGATTTAAACCCCTGGACTGTACCATGTTCCTGCCTGATCTCCTGGAGGAGAGGTGGAGGCCTAAGGGAATTCATTAATATGTGCCGGTGTAAAGCTCCAGAGTGGCCTAAAGGGAGGAGGAGGAGGAGGGATGCAGGACCACCGCTGTTCCTAATGGGCAGTAACCTGGAGAAGTGATGATCGGGAGGCCATTCTGAAAGCGTTTATAGACCTTGAGAATTGCGGGTCTGGCAGATATGTGATGGTCCAGTCAGCCCAGGAGTGGCTGCACCTCAATAGGTATTAGTGCGGTGCTGATATTTGTGAGCTGATGAGATGAATGAACAATTCCCCTTTCCTTGTAGGAGGAGGAGAGCCCCCCGGACTCCAGCACCCCCATTGCCAGAGTGTAAGTACAAGTGCATCCCCATCCATCATTCTGCATTCGTTGTTTACTGTCTGGTTTGTGTTGGAGCGCGACATGACGGTAGGAGGAAGCAGCATTGGTTCAGCAGACATTCAGGAAAGAGTCAGGGCCGTTTTATTGTTATCAGCAGACTTTTGTGAGTCTCTCTCTCTCTGGAATTCTGACCAATCAATCTTGCCTTGTTTCAGAAGGACGGATTACATTGTGCGGCCGAGCTCTGGAGATGAGAAGCGGATCTTCCAGGAGCAGGTCAGTGTCCATTATGACAATGGTTTATTTTCATGTGAATGGAAGTTAATCGTCTCCAAGACCTCCCAGCACTAACCTGCATCCCTCTGCTCCCCCCAGGAGAGGCACCGCTACCTCCAGCCTCACAAGGCCTTCACTTTCCGCATGCACGGATTTGAGTCTGTGGTGGGTCCGGTGAAAGGCGTATTCGACAAGGAGACGTCTCTGAACAAAGCTCGTGAACACTCGCTGCTGCGCTCTGATAGGCCGGCTTACGTCACCATCCTGTCCCTTGGTAATTTTCCTTTTTTTTTTGGTCTGATCTGGGTGGGTGGGGCTTAGCCTTATTTCCTGGCTGCAGGAGGCTGAGCATCATCTAGCTCTTTCCCTCCCCAGCTTGACTGTCCTGGTCCACACTTTGCATTCCATATAGTCTGGATTTTATCTGATGACATTTTAAGGTTCTCTAAAGAGATTTTTCAATGAAATTTGTATTCTCAGTTCGGGATGCAGCCGCCCGCCTGCCCAATGGCGAGGGTACACGTGCCGAAATCTGTGAGCTTCTGAAGGATTCCCAGTTTCTGGCGCCCGATGTTACCAGCGCTCAGGTAAGTGGCTGTTTTATTGGTATTGGGGGCAACGTCTTGTGTTTTGAGGTTCATGAAGTGGCCGCGGCGTCAAAGTACTTCCCTGAGTTCAGACTCTCCGGTGTCGTCATTAGGTGAACACGGTGGTGAGCGGTGCATTGGACCGGCTGCACTACGAGAAAGATCCGTGCGTGAAATACGACATTGGACGCAAGCTGTGGATCTACCTCCATCGAGACCGCAGCGAGGAGGAGTTCGGTAAGAGCTCTGCCAATAGACTCTGCTTGATGTTCATCCGGTGCATGGAGATTCTCATCCTCCGTCTTCTTCTGCAGAGAGGATCCACCAGGCGCAGGCAGCAGCAGCCAAAGCCAAGAAAGCTCTGCAACAGAAGCCGAAAACACCCTCTAAGATCGTACGTTCCCCATT